GGATAGAGTCCAGGGGAATCCTGTGTCGATCGTAAGCTTGTAGGTTTGAAACGAGTGCAACTTGAAGTGAAGTCGTCCAGCAGTCCAAGGACGATCTCCAGTCACAATCTCTTGCTACATGTATAGTGTTCTGATCAAGCCTTAGACATGCGATGCAACAAAAGAGCGAAGCAGGTAGCATAAGACTGCAGAAGAGACTACTTGAAAGGGATTGAAAGGGATTGGGAGTTGGGGAGAAAGTGCGCAAGGCTGTGCCAACATTGATGCCGCGGCGATCAAACCCGAACAATACCCCTACTCGAATTGCCTTTCTTCCTCCATGTCGATACCTTGCCAGGTTCTCTTGAAACCACGGTCATCCCTCATAACACGGGGTCCTGCATACATTCCCGGCGGGCCCGAATACGCCCCTATCCAACTCTCGTACCAGGATCCTCCTCCAGATTCAGAACTAAAGAATGACCGATATTTGGTCCAGTACCACCAGGAAATCCTACCCTTTCCATCCCTCGACGAGTCTTCGACATATGTACCCTCAACGTCGAGATGAAATGTGGCGCCCTTCCAGAATACGTCCAGAAATTGGTCGACTTTAGGCTCCGCACGGCGAGGGAATCGGTCCGATGGATGCGCAGTATACCTTCTGAGACTCTGGAAAAGGCTCGCGTTCCATACACACACAGTAGTACTGAAGGGTTGGACGAACAAGTCATCGCCCGGATGATGGTGTTCTTCAGTATGCGCTCAATGGATAACGCCTTGATTGAGCTCGAGAGCTGGTTATGCCTGTTTTATCAAGTCGATGATTGGCTTCGTGAGTCTTGCGTCCATGGTCGAAAGTGCCGAGCCGATCTAATGGTGCAGTGCGTTGGAACTATTACCAGCTGCGCGTCGACCGGCGCCACGCCGAGTCGCACTTGATATGCCCTGCAGAGTGGATATTGCGTGAGATGTCACTGCCCTCAAGTTTCGCTACTGATTCGACTTTCCGCAAGTTGTTCACGATACCTCCAAGCTTTATCACGACACCTCCAAGTTCATTCGCTCAGTCGCGCTTCGCATTCGCGGCGCCATTGCCATCGACAGGCGGCCTTCATCTCCGGCTGATATACCTCTTGAACACATCAACGGCACTTAATTCCAAACATCTGGCACCCCCGCACGTTCCAGCTTGATAAAGCTGGGCTCGATACAGCCTACTAGCTCGTATATATATAACCTTCTCCATAAATTCAAAACGCGTTCCTTTTTTCCCGCGGAGTACTAAATGTTTCCGAAGATTGAGTTCACGTCGATTTTGATATGTAAATTCTCCGAGGGGCTCTGAATTCCGTTGATTCCAAAGACTGTGGATCCATGGTTTTTAATCTCAGGCTCCTAGTTTATCTTATCGCAGACACCCGAAGATAGCCGAAAGTCGGCTAACAGTGCCCCTATGTCGCCTTTGCTTCCTTCTACTCACCTCCATGTCCTTAGCCTCCCAGATTTTACTCAAACCGCGCCCACCGGTGACAACTGTGGGGACAGCATGGATACCATGCGGACTTGAATACGCCCCCATCCACCTCTCGCACCAGGATCCTCCTCTAGAAGTAAAGGAGTGGGACCTCCTCGACTTCAATTGTTCAATAACGCTCGACAAGTACTTGGTCGAGTACCACCAGGACATCCTACCCCTTCCATACCTCGACGATTCTGTGGACATATGTACCCTTTATGTCCAGCTCAAATCCGGCGCCCATTCGGAATATCACTGCGTTCCGCCCCCAGGTAGACCCCCCCCAGCTACTTGCGTCGACATGCCTCTACCTGCATCTACGCGTGTAGACGAAGGGGGTAGACGCAGGTAGATGGAACATCCATCTACTTGCGTCGACATGTCTCTACGTCAGGTGGACGCGCCTCCGCTACGTTCGGCTACATGCGGCTACGTTCGGCTACATGCCGTCACATCCGTCTACGTCCGTCTACGCCCGTAGATCCATTAAACCGTGCGCTTTGGCTTAACCCTACGCCATATTTCGATGCTCTTCCTCTTGAGACACCAGGTCCTCTCAATGAGTTGGGCAGACCTCTAAACCCACAGAAATGTGGTATGTACCTCAAATGTACCTATTTTAAAATCCCTCGAGGCTGTCGCATCAGATCTACATGTTCATCTACGTTCGGCTACGCTCGGCCACATTCGGCTACGGCGGTAGCCGAACGTAGCCGAACGTTGATGAACGTAGACACCCAATGTCTACGCGTGTAGCTGTAGGTAGATGGACATGACCGTCTACCCCATCGTCTACGTGGGTAGACGGAGGGTCCGTCTACCTGGGGGCGGAACGCAGTGTATGTCGAAAAATTGGTTGATTACAGACGGCGCACAATGGAGGAAATGCTCGGATGGTGGCGCAGTTTACCTTCGAATGCTCCGGTCAGGGCCGCAATCCCACTTAAATATGCCAAGTTGGACGGCGAAGACCTTGCTCAACAACTCTCGGAGCCAGGCATGCTCCTAATGGATGACAATGCCCTCGAGCTCAAGAGCTGGGGATACCTGTTTCGCAAAGTCGATGATTGGCTTGGTGAGTCTCATGTCTACCGTCCAACTGCTGAGCCAATCTGATGGCACAGTTCGAGCGTCACTCCGAGCCGCACTCGATGTGCACCGCAGAATACAGATTGTGTGAGACTTCAACCTCTTCTTACATGTCGTTTGGGTACTAATTCAATTTCCCCAAGTCTATCACGAGACGTCCAAACTCCTACGCTCACTCGCCCTCCGTGCTCGGGATGCTATCAACAAGCCCTCGCTCGATTCAGCAGATATCTCACTTGACGATATCGACGGTATTTGAAGTTTGAACCCGAATAGTTATCACCGTCCCCCTGCTCTCGAATTGATTAGGTTGAATTTAAATCAATTGAACAAAAATGTGCACTTCAATCGGACAATTCTTTGGAATGCAACCGTGGTTCACGGTCACCGGAGAGGTGGTTTGCAAGTTGATTGACTCAGAATTGAACCGTGAGAAATAATTGACTGCTTCCATCTCGGATTTTCTTCGCCGTTTCATACGATACGTCCGGTGAGAGGCACAACAAAGTAGGAGGTATCCACAAGAAAACTAGAAATTCTCCCGGACAAATTATACATGTAATACGGTATCGTGGAGCTGGTATAGACAAAGTTGCAAAATTACGAGGAAGCGACAGACGAGGCCAAAACGCTCTATGGACTGGGAGCCTGGTCGCGGGAGGATAGATTCGCCGGAGAGCTGATTGAAGGCAATTGCCAGCCTACGGGAGATGCACCTGCGAATAGGTCTAAAGAAAAGGAAGGGCTCTGGGCCGCGGAAGCAAATAAAGGGCTTGAGCCTGCGGTATCATGAATTAGAAGATCCGAGGGTGAATGATGTTGGGTCAACTGGGGACTCACTAGGTTCCATTGTACGAGGAAACAACGGACTGCGATCGGTAATGGCGAAGGGGCTATGGAGGTTGTGGTCCGGAAGCAAATGATCCTCGAAAGCAAATCGGTCTTCAGTGTAGTGTTCCGAGTTGCTTGCCTAGGCGATTGTGAGGACAATAAAGAGGTCCTCAAACGAGAACACACCTCAGAATTTAATGTGAAGGCCGGCTCGAGGGTGCTGGAATCATGAGCTTCCGCTGACGAGAAAAACACCAGCGGCTGGAGACACGATTATAATGACATGCTACGTACGGTAAACGAAGACGGGTCGAGGACAACCTACCTGGATGGTTCCCGTGCTACTGAGCGCCGAAACACTCTCTTGGTCGGATTCACCGTCGACAGAGTCATAAGCGACGCGTAGAGGTGACAACAGAAAGCTCATTTCGACATCCGCATCGGCACGCGCCGGCGGCAGGATTTGGAACGCATGTATACGTTGCAGCACTATAAGCTCTGTGCACACGGTCATAGACGCTGAAGCCTGGGAGATATCAACTGACCGCCAGCAGTGTTATCGCCATCCTGAGAGGTCTTCGATACTTTGACGTCTTTTTTGATCCCCTCTCCGCTATGGAAGAAGTGAGCCGAAAAAGCGGTAATGGAAGGTAGACTCACAACTCGTCGTAAGCCCGCAATGCAACACGAATGAGTGGGACAAAAACCGAGCAGATCCAGGGGATGACTTGGCTAAGCCCTTTTGCATCTTCCCACATCGCGCCGACGAAGACAAGAAACGGGCCGAGCGCTGCAGTGTCTTTCGTGGCGATCGGCTGCTTCATATTGGGGTGGTGAGGCTTGCGGAATATCGCAGCTAGGACCTCTTTCCGGAGCAGGCACTCTTCTATGGTCTTGACCAACGTGAGAGACAGTCGCCGAAAAAGTCGCCACGGCCACGCTCACTTCATATTTCCCAGGTATTGAACCTGCATCAATGCCGCCTACCACCTCGCGGAATGCAAGCATAAGACCATAGGTGAAAGTTGCTCTTCCCGTAACTCGAAGGTACCGCCGAATCATGTCGACAGGAGACAGAGCACATTCCCAGGTCTTGGCCTTGAGGTTTGGGATAGGAACTTCGTACAGCGGATCCTCGATAGCTTCTAGGAGCTCGCCGACAACGAAGCATGTGCGAGCATTCGGGGTATTCTTGGGTGTCATGGGTAAAGGCGTCGAGGAGGAGTTAAACGCGTGACGTCACGCGAAGCAGCGCGTCGATCCGTCGATGAAGCGAAGATCCCGCCATCCCCATCCTGCAGCGCCGACGGATCACAAATATCAAGCCTAATGCGGGAAGTTGGCGGGAGGCCAAGGCAGGAGCGAACTCATGCCAACTGCAGAGAAGAGAAACAGAGTCCCCGGTCAGCCCGCATTACCCACAATTTTTTTCAGACCTGACTCGAGAAAAAAAAGATAATATTCTACTTGCACGATTGGAAATTTATCAAGGCGAAAGAAAAAAATCATCCAAGTTCGTCAGTATTCACGACCTCTCGGGAACAGATCTCCTATTCGCCACCCCTCGGGGACACAACTCCGCGCTTCCGTGGCTCAGTTGGTTATGGCGCCAACTGCAGCACCGCCATCCGATGACAAAGTGGGAGACGTCCTACGAGTTGGTTGGTCGCGGGTTCGATTCCCGCCGGAGGTGCAAGGGCGCTGCGGGCCGGTCAAAAAGTGCGACTTGCGCCGATGGGGTTTACTGAGTTCGTGTCATCGTTCCGCGATTGCCTCGCCCCGCTAGGCAAAATGCCATGTTATTTTTATTTTTATTTTTTGGCAGTTTGCTCAGGTCGTTTCACTTCATCGACTCAGACCAAATTGAATCGCTGGCTACCAAAAAGGGGATTAAACCACTGAATTGCACGAAAAGACCTTGAGAAGACCCATGAATTAGATGTTTGTTTATGAGGCACAGCTAGTCGCGTAGTCCGGTGGCGGGTTTGAGTGGACCGTGTCTGAGCGCTGGAGGTCCGAATGCTCTCCAGTCCGGCGATTAACACTCTTCTCTGAGATGCTACTCTCCGATGACTCCGCCGACGTTCCCTCCATAATCGACCCCGCAGTCGACTGCCCTTTCATCGGCGGAACCACTGCAACGTTCTGTTGACCGCCATGCGTCCGCAGGAATGGGATTGCCTGGTTCTCGCGCACCGGCACCTGCAGCGCGGGCCCGGCGTGGTCGAGTGCATCTAGCATCTCCTCCGCGCCCTGTTCCAGATCTATGCTTCGTGGCGCAAACAATGAAGATCGGGAGCGCGATGTGGAGGAGGGCGACAAGGGTGCCGCCCCTACTGAATTCGTCGTTGGGCGTGGCGCGGGGAAGAACGAAGAGGAGGCGGAAGCGGGACGCCGGCGTCGTCTACGGCATACGATGCATGCTATCAATGCGACGAAGACGCTGGCCACCGCCGCACTGACCGAGCCTGCAACAACGACCATCTTGCGATGAGAAGATCTGGACGTAGTAAGTAAGTGTATATCCGTTGTAATAATTGATTGCATGTCTAAAAACATACAAGCTAATAGAGTCGGGTACGGTTGCTCCCGTCGACACGGGTACCAGCGTAGCTGACGTCCGCACTATTGGAGTTACAGTGGTGAAGATCCTCGCATCTGAGGTGACGGTCACGGTCGAGAGCTCGGTGAATACGGTTGTGCTGGTGCTGACTGCTACGGTCTCGGAGATGCGGATGCGGACACTGGAGGACAATAGAATACATGTCAGTATTGTTATTCAAGTTTCAAGTGGCATGAATACACCGACATGAAATCTGTCGCTGTTGTCGTAGCAATAGGAGGTGTAGTACCCGATTCATCGACGGCGCTCGATAGGGTCGAGGCAGCTACAGGAGTCGGCGTCGAGAGGGTCGTTACTGAAGGGATTGAGCTAGATACCGCAAGCTGAGAGCTCGTGGAAACTATCACAGGTAGAGGCGGTGTCAATGTCGGCGAACTCAACGCAGACGAAAGTGAGGAGAGAGTTGTCGATATCAGCGGGCTCGACGTGGAGGTCGGTGAGCTTGATGTCAATGAAACTGACGATATGGCGGTCGGTGTCGAGCTCGAAGTCGAGGGAGTTGATGGGGTAAGATTGGATGTAGAAGCTGCTGAGGGAGTTGCTGGTAAATTTATGGGACCGTTCGTGGAATATCTGTATTGATTCATCCATGAGCGCGCAAACAGATCGGATGAATCTGGGGACTGACATGTAGTAACGGGTCTCGGTGACGACGACGCAGCCGTCTATTGTCGTGGAAGATGCGGGTGTCGGCTGTATGGAGGAGATACCGACTGACGGCGTCGTTGTAGGAGCCGCGATCGACGGCGAAGCGAGTGAAGATAGCTGAGCGGGTAGAGTGGAAGGTATTGGAGGTGTCGCGCGAGCGCGAAGAGCAGGGTTGCTCAAAATGTTCATGGTAGGAATGGGGAGGGCTGACTGCGGTGCACTCGAAGTCAGCACGGAAGGCGAGGCGGAATGTGTGGATCCCGGTGGCCCAAGAATCGAGTCTGAGAATTGGGAGGTGGGTAAAAATAATATGGCGGTTAATGTACATGTTGTTGGTGAAGTGCTTGAAGGACTGGAGCGGCTGAATGTTTGGCTGGAAGAAGGTGGTACAGACGTGGAAAGGGGACTTCTGGATGAGCCCGGGAGGCCCTGGGTCGAGCTTTGTGAAAGAGCGGAAGACGGTGGGATAGATGTGGAAAGGGGACCCGCGGATGAGCCCGGAAGGCCCTGGGTCGAGCTTTGCGAAAGAGCGGAAGAAGGTGGGATAGAGGTGGAAAGGGGACCCGCGGATGAGCCCGGGAGGCTTTGGGTCGAGGTTTGCGAAAGGGTGGGGGAGGGGAAATCCACGGAGATCGTCAATGAAGGTCCGATGCTCGAGTCGGCTAAGAAGACCGGAGGAGACGAGGTGGCCACAGGAATGCGGGAGTGTGTTTGACCCGAAGACTCAAGGGAAGTCGACTTGTGTGTCAACGATTGAGTCGGATGCGGCCGGTGATGTGTTTTACTCCCGCTGGAAGGACGCTTCCCATGGCTCTTGCTATGTCGTCCGCCTCGGCCCAATGATTTAGGAAGGGGTCCTGCCTCGACGCAGTCGATAAGTCCAAGAAATAAACAAAGCGCAATGCTGTAAAGACGCTTGTGTGAGTATGGGTCTATTTCGGGAGTTAGCTCTTACCAAAACTGCATCTTTGAGCCCATGCCTGCATGTAAGTATACTTTAATAACCAACAATGCTGAAAATGAATATGAAAGAAAGGAAACGAAAGAACGGAAGGGAGGGAGACCAAGCCCTGCTGCCTTGAACTACAGCTCCCATCTATATATCTTTCCAGGAATACCCCAAAACAAGTTGTCGAACTTCGAACACACCGAAATATCGATATCATCTTCCGCAGCCGGAGACCCGCAGATATGTTCGAGCTCTGTTGAGATTCAATGGACGGCCGAAGCGCGACAGTGCTGCCCTAGATATGTCGCCGCCCCGTTGCTGAAGAGAACTCGTAAGCCACCAGAGAGTCCTGAGCTGAACTTCAAACACTTAAAATAACCATAAATGATACGGGGTGTTGATGTAGAAACTGCATAGCGGGGAGACGGCGGTGCTACGTGGGTCCATCATCGTCGACAATGTTTAGAGGAAATGAATATGAAACAGAAAGCAACTTACAATTGCAGAAGTCGAGTCGAGAACAGAAAACAATCCAAAAACGCGATGTCGGACGCAAGTCGGACGTCCTGTGAGCCGTGGTCCTGAGAGGGCCAGAGGAGAGCAACGAGAACAAGATAGCGTTGGAGTGGCAAGTTAAATGGAACGAGGAGCCACGAAAGAATACGATTCCAGATCCGCACTGGCAGGCTGTATGCTGGTAGGATGAGCGAACGAGTTACGAAACGGAAAACGGAGATTGGATCAAAGCTTGGCAGATATATATCACCGAATCGTGGTTGAAACTGACCCACAAGTTACAGCGACAGTGAAACTCAATAAACTCATCGCAATCGCTGGGATTCAATCTCGGCCAGAGTGGAGGGCTCGCTCGCAGGTTGATGGAATTGAAGAACTCGTTGATAATTTGAACCGTGAGAAATAATTTGCTGCTCGCAACTGGGGTCGTCTTTCTTTGTTCGTCCCTTTTTTCAGAGACAAATTAAAGGATAGGTCTTTCGAGAGAGCTAAACACGTCAACGTTGATTGAAATCGTGGAATGCAATCGCGGCAAGTGCAGGGAGTTGACTAAATTGAACCGTGAGAAAAACCCACTCCTCGAGATTGTCCCTCTTAGTTTTTTTCGGTTCACTCTTTTTCACGAAAAATAATAAAGGATACCTCTCGAGGAAGCGGACTTCATGATCACGAAGCACCGCGCAGAAACGTTCCTGAGCCAATGATTTACGGAACACGGAGACGAGAGTGTCTAATATTGCTCGAAGGAGGTAACATGTTTGTTATGAGAGGAATTGTGTGTATGTAGAGCAACAGTAGAGCGGATTGCACTTCTTTCGTCTCATTGAGCCTCCCGGGAGACCGCCGTCCACAGTTGTGTCGCACCTAAAAGGAGCAGGACACAAGGGCCGTGTTCATCCGCGTCGACGTCGCAAAAACATCCCGCATAGTGTGGTGCTGTGTCGTCTTCGACCTCATCGTCCTCCTCAACGTCACTCTCCTCCTCGAACTCGTCATCCTCCACCCCATCGTGGCAGTCAGCGCGCTCGAAATCTACCACAGTTTCTTCTTCGTCTGATGGAGGTGATCTGGCTACGGTAATGGGTAATGTCGTTGTGGAGATGGATGCCTGCGCCGAGGAACTTGAAAAAAAAGTGAGAATGTAACTCATCCGCCTAATGTGCTGCTCACATTGGATCCGGTCGCCCCAGAAACTCCAACAACTCCTGCAACTCCCGAGTGGCGAACCACTCTAGCATCGTCTGCGTAAATCGCAGCTTGAGCAGGACCAATGTTTCCTCGCTATGGTCCAGTACGCTGGTCGAGTGTGAGTTGACGGGGCATTGCTGGAGCGCGAAGAGAGGAGCGTGCGGCTTTTTGGCCAGCAAGAGCAGCTAAGATGGTCTCAATAAGACACCTGGACTGAAGCAGAAAAGCACGTACACGACGCAGCACAGAGATAGCGGCTCTGTGGTCGTCCCATGGTCTGTGAAGGGCAACCCAGAGGGCTAACCCATTACAAAAATGATCTATTGACCTGACGCTCGTGTCGGGACAAAACCGTTTCAACAACAGTAGGAAGATAATGTGACCGGGGCTATGATGGGTCGTCAACAAAAAAAAAACTCAGATTGGAGGAATCGAGTAACCGTGGAAAGATGTGCGCCGCCTCCAGGTCATCTTCGGGAAATCGTTGGATGGCGGTGGAGAATGTGCAGCAATGACCGTGCCGCTTCTTCACGGCGGAGGCGAACTTTGGGTCGCGCTAAGATAAAATCAGTATGATGTATTGGGAAAAGAATGAATTATTTACCTTCCCCGCAGGCGAATGAAAGTTTAATCGGGGAAGTTCCTGCACTTCAACGGCTTCAAAGGTGCTCAGTTTAAGCCTCAGGTCAGAAGCTAAGACATACTGTTTAGAGCAATAAAGAAGTCGCCCTCTAAATTGTCATCCTCATTGACCACGGTGGAGCAGCTC